TCTTCGATAAAGGAGTCAAACACCCTCACTGGAGGAAAGATAGCCTCTTTAATAAATGGTGCTGGAAAAATTGGGTTTTAACTTGTCAAAGATTAAAACTAGTTCTATGTTTTTCACCATGCACTAAACTAAAATCGAAATGGATTAAAGATCTCAATATTAAAATAGAAATGCTGAATCAGCTGGAACAGAGGTTAGGTAGAACTCTTGAAGACATTGGTGTGGGGAAAGATTTTATGAACAAAACCTCAGTGAATTTAATTTTAACATAGGAATTCTTGTGACATTGCACATTTACATTAGCTTTGCAACTCTTTAACCCTTACATCCTGATTCTTACGCATGTTTGCCCTGTAGCCATAGGAAATACAGAATTTCTGTAAGGCCAATGCACAGAACTTCAGATGATTCAATGGGTTTGAACTTGGGAGTCTAACATCTTAAGTTGCTTCATTTTCTCTATTCTCTTCAGGCAGCCTAGCTCACTGTCTGTGTCGTTACTTAGGTTATTGTAGGAATTAAGTAGCCCCATAGTCACTTAGTCTCCTAACACCTTACTCCTTAACCTCACATCATCTCCTGCCACCACAAGGGACAGAGAACATGCACTGTGATGCCACTGATTCTGTGTCCCACATCCCTCTAGCAAGGTAGCTACCATGCGGTCATCAAACAGGTACTAATTTAGACCCAGGAGCTCCATTTTAAGGGTCTGTTTTCCTGGGCTACTGTCCTTGCCAGTTTGGGTGACAGTTTAGCCTCCAGCATGAAATAACAGTGAGTACTCAAGGATTTCATTCAAGTGTTATGAAAGGACTAGTCAATGAGGTATGGGCAGCTTTAAGGAAACCAGTGAAGGCTGTTAACCCTACTGTGAAAATATGTTACCATCCTAAAGAAAGAAGATGATATTATTGGAACCTGGTGAGAGACATAGCTGTTGAAGAGAGCAGTTGTGACTTGGAGACATTCAACTATATTCCAAAGAGCCTGTTCTGAATTGATAGTGGAAAAAAAAAAAAGCTTGACTTTGTTTTCTCCCTCTGATTTTTGCCAGTGCCTCTCACTGGCTGACCTCATCCAAATCCAATGGGCAAAGGATCCTACATATGCAATCTGTGGAGTCTCTTGGGCAGAGCAGGGCAGAGAAAGGACAAGGGGATTGATAGCCAGCCTAGAATACATGTGTCTGTTTCTGGACTCTATTCCATTGATATGTCTATCCCTGTAGGGACAGGGGTCATAGGCAGGAAAAAGAATAAAATAGGATCTCATTAAGCTTTATTAAACCTTACTAAAGGCAGCTTTTTGCTTCTGCAGCTAGACTCTAGGAATTAGACAAAGGTAAAGAGAGACAGAGACAGAGATGGACATAGAGATGGAGATGGAGATGGAGCTGGAGATAGACAGATGGAGACAGAGATCAAGAGACTAGAACTGGGAAGATGCCAGGTAACATAATTAACATAAGAATTTAGCAGGCAGAGTGGAAAGGCAAAACAGGGATGTAGCCAGGAATATGATGGCCAAGGTAGTCAGCCCCCCACTCATCTCTGATAAAATGCAAAGGAGATCAGAGACAACTACCTGAGGACTCTTATTTAATATATAAAGCACACATGTCCCTTAATCATTAACTCTAAATTACCTTTCTGTGAGCCCCTGAGGCATTATCCATCACAAAGGGACAGGGAAAAAATCAAATAGCCAGGTAGAATGTAGATAGAGTTGCCCAGGTTAGGATCAAAGACAGCCAGAAAGCCAATCAGATAGTGACAACTTCTAAGTGTCCATGTGAAGGGTCGGAGAAATAACTAATGCATAAAGGGAGCTGAAGACAAAAATCCATGAGTGCCCCCTACTCTGTTCTCTTTGAGTAGCTGTCTATCTTTTTTCTTTTCCATTTTTTTTTCAAATAAATTGTTTTCCCTTATTTTAAACTCTGCCTTTGTGATGTATTACTGAAGGTGAGAGTTTCTGATTTCAGCAGGATCCCAGTAACTGCGTGTTCAAGCACAGCAGTGGTGTAATGTGGCATGGCACAGTGTGTTGCACATTCCTCCCCAGAAATGATACCTCTATGACCAACTAAACTCAAAATTACTGTAAAGATAATTTAAATAAATTACTGTAAAGATATGTTTTATTTCTATGGGGGGAAGGAAGAGGATAAATAAAACTTTTCAAGTATCTCCAGGAATTTCATAATGACCTGGTGAAGAAGGTGCATAGCCATTACTCTTAAGCAAAAATGCAAACTTATTTTAGGAATTCTTGGGTTATTCGAACATGTAAAGCAACCACTTTTTCTGTCAGTGGTTTCATACGGGTGCCAATGCCTGTACTGATTTGCTTCAGCAGAGAACATATTTGGAATTATATTTTATTATGATCATTGCCAGATTAAATTTAAAACAATTCTTTGCCTTTTTCTGTTGCTTACCCATCATTTTGTAGGCTAAACAAGTCAAATAAGATTATGATAGGAATCACCACCTTTGTATATTTCAGGTTTCTCATGGTGGGACTGATTTCTGTATTCAGAAAGACTGTGGCTTAATATTTTGGTGATGGTAGAGATGATATTTAGGGGCTTCCATTTGGCCCTTTCTTACATAACAACCCTATCATGTGGGTCAGGGAGGCAAAGTATGAATTTCACAACTTATTACTTGTGCTTCTTTATACAAACTGCTCCCCTATGGGGAAAATATGATAGAGTTGATTTGTAGACCCATAGATACAGTCATCTGTTTGAACTTAAATTTCATTGAGATCTTCCAAGCACTCATTTTCCTCAAGTGAACCACAGCAGTATTTTAAGTTTTCAAAAATCAAGTTAGAGCCCTTCCTTCCTTCCTTCCTTCTTTTCTTTCTTTCTTTCTTTCTTTCTTTCTTTCTTTCTTTCTTTCTTTCTTTCTTTCTTTCTTTCCTTTCTTTCT